GAACGATTTGCCTTGGATTCGAACTGGGATCATTCTGTCATTTTGGAGATTGTATCCCATTCCTGCTTTTCCTACTCTTTCATTGACTATGAAGGCTACTCCATTTCTTCTGAGGGATTCTTGCCCGCAGTAGTATACCTGATGGTCATCTGAATTAAATTCACCCACTCCTGTCCATTTTAGTTCACTGATTCCCAAGATGTCGATGTTCAGTCTTGTCACCTCTTGTTTGACCACGTCCAGCTTGCCTTGATTCATGGACCTTTCATTCCAGGGTCCTGTGGAGTACAGATCTTTGCAGCATCGGTCTCTCAGTTAATGTCCATTGGTTTCTTATATGCAGGTAAGTCACGTCCCGCTCAAACAGTTGGGCAGAAAAGGCGATGGCACTGAAAAGGCAGTTTAATTTTGTCTTTACTTTCTGCAGCTTCCCTGCCCCTACCCCCAAAATCCTGATGTCCCCAAGAGAACTGCAGAACCCCCCCTCCCAAATGTCTGCACAGCATCCCAGGTTCCCAGTCCAGCAGATAGACTTTCATTTCAACTCTACAAAATGCTCTGATGGAATAAATTGAGGAATCAAAGTAGATAGGCAGATAGGTAAAACTGTATTACAGACTGGTAAAACTATATTATTAAGTATATTGCAAGGAATCCCTGGAGAAGCTTCTAGTGCTGGGAACAATTGACAGCAAGGGGAGAAGGGGACGGGAGAGGAGGGGGTAGCTGGGCGGAGTCACTGGGACCGGGGGCGAGGGCTGGGTGGACTCTGCGGGATGGTGTTGGAAGGGAGAGCCCTGAGGAATGGTGCTCACGGTGTCGTGATGGGTCGGGCGTGACTTTTCGACTAACATTACGTAACGTCAATTACTTGGGTAAGCGGAAAGGCCCTAGATGAGACCCATAGAGCAGGTGGGCTGGTTTGTGCTTGGTGTAATTGGCGGGTTGGGGCATACAGTGGCAGCTTTAGATCTCGCGTACTGCAATACGTCTGATCAGCTTCTCTGGGCGATTAACGCCACATATTCCCCATTGCCCTTCATGGAGTGTTTGCTTGTAGCCCCAAGCTAAACATTTGAATTGGGAAACCAGCTCGGTCTTGCGCTGACCAGACTTCCAAGATCGAGTTTTTTGTCTTTTTGCAAACGTCGTGAGGATAGTGTTTGATAGTTGATTGTCAGATCTTCTTCCTTGCAACATTCAGCCATCTTCCACGGGGCTCTTGAGTCCCCTCTGGAGTCCTTGAAATAGCAGCGGCATCATCTGCATATCGTTGTACGGATGGATGCCCCCCCATGACTGTGGGGGGTGAAAATCGATGTGGCTTAGCTGGTCAGCCACTGAGTTGATATACAAGATGAGCAAAGGTGGAGCAAGAAGGGAGCCCGGTTTGATCCCTTTGGGTATGGGAACAGAATGTCTTGGGGGCCCACGGGCGCTGCATCTGAACTTGGGGGAGGTGCTTGGTTAGACGTCTTCTGCGGGGCCCTTCACCTGTGGGGCTCCTCATGTCTGAGAGCAGCAGCTGCGAGGCCAGAGGCAGCTCCCACCTCAAATGTGGTCACTATGGGCTTTATGCGGTCCCACCTTTGCGGACTGAGGGCCAAACCCGAAAAAGGGAAGGGCTGGCTGTGGGAGGACAATCAGCACCTGTCCATTCAGGTGACCCGTGTCTCTGTGGGCCTGTGATCGGGGGCCCCAGTGAACAGTAAGACCATCTAACTCCTCATCTCTCCTGGATGCCCTGCACTAGTTTGGGGGACTAACTTAAGAAAGTGCAGAAAAGCCTTCCCTCAAAGGATTTCATTCTTTCGGCAGAAGGTTTTGGCTAAGATTCCTCTCTGGGCAGAGACCACGCTCATCAGCAAGAGGCGAGCGCGTGGAGACGGCTGCGAGGCTTAAGGTAAGGGCAGCTTTCCATGGGATGCCGCGAGGGGAGGCCAGAGATGGGTCCGTGGCCGGCTGAGTGGGGCGCCTCCCGTCCCTCCTCGCCACAGGGGGAAGAAGCATGACGGCCGTTGGGTGGCAGCGGCTTGCTCTGAGAAGGCCGCAGCCAGGGGACCTGGCTCACACAGTTCAAGGTAGATTTTAAAGATTATATTTTTCTCACCTTCCATCCTTTTTCGGTGTCTTCGTCTCTCTTCCCACCGCCCTCCTCCCTCCTGTGTTCCCTCTCCGTATTCCCGCTCTGTATTCAGAGCCAACGCATGCGTGCCGCAGGGGGAAGAGCCGGCGCACCCGCAGGTGAAGGGAGCTGCTACAATTTGGCGCGTGCACCGCCTCTCTGCTCTCTCAATTCCCTCTCACTCACTCAGGCGGGGATAGCGATGGCTCTGAAAAAGGCAGTTCAATTTTGTCTTTACTGTTTGCAGCTTCCCTGCCACTACCCGCAAAACCCCTCGTGTCTCCTGGAGGACTGAAGAACCACAAACTGACTGCACAACATTCCAGTTTTCCAGTGCCCTGGAATGATGCTCATTGAAACTCTGCAAAATGCTCCACAGGAATCAGCTGAGATAGTAAAGATAGAAAGAAAGATCAAACTGTATTCTGATCAAAGACCAGCTCAACTCAAATACATACAAAAACGAATCCCAGCCACTGTGCAGGGATGGGTCTCTTCAGCCTGGAGAAGAGGAGACTCAGAGCAGATCTGTTGGCGACATGCAGGTATGTGAGGGGGTGTCACATGGAGGCGGGTAGAGGCCTGTTCTCCCCTGCAGAGGAAGGCAGGACGCGCCCCAACGGAGCAAAGCTCAGGGAGCCAAGGTCCCATTTAGATGCCAGGAAGCACTTCCTGAGAGTTGGGACCCCGAGGGTGTGGAATGGGCTTCCACGGGAGGCGGTTGAGCCCCACTGGTGAGGGTGTTCAAGGATAGGCTGGACATGCACATGGTGGGCATGTTGTGAGCGGAGCCGGCTGGTGCTGGAGGTCAGACTAGATGGCCTGGGAGATCCCTTCTGACTCGCTCTGTTTCTATGTTTCTGTTTCTATGCCCCGCTTGATCCTGGATTCAAGTATTATTTGAGTGGACACCAACCCCATTTTTGACTGGAGACCTCTCTGGGGACACCCATGACTGTTCTCAGAAATTTTGATTGAACGCGTTGCAGTACTTGCGTGCTCGGGAAAGTCCCCAGCTGAGATCCACGCAGTAGCCAAGCATCCTCGGAAATAAGACCGAACTGGAAAATCGGCCCTAGCGTGATTTTCCAGGATGCTCGTTATATAAGCCCTACTTTGAAAGCCCCAGGTAAGATCATCAGCCAGACAGGAAAGCGGGGAAATCCGTCCATTGCAACACATGAAAGACGCATTGAAGAATAACATAGGAATGTTAATATATTGTTAAATGTAAGTACATAATATCATTGACATAAATACCAAAAATATATGATAATGTATTTTCTAATGAAGTATTTGCAAATACTGAAGTGGGCACCTTTGGAGGAGAGGTAAACACCTGTGGAAAACAAGGAGCATGAGCCTTATTGTCGAATGACCAGTCAGAGTAGACACAACGTCCAAATAGCACCGATGCGTCTTGTGTTGCAGCGGACGGACTTCACGCACGACGCCCAGCGCAGGATGGGTGAAAAGGAAAGAGCTATTCCGTTGAGAACAAGAAAGGAAGCAGGGAGGTCTCTTGGGGCGAGAATCTCGCGGCTTTTGTTGGAATAAGACATCCCCTGAGAACAAGCCCGATGCGTCTCTCGGAGAAAAATTGACATAGAACCTGGTTGTACATTCGGGGAAACACTTTCGTTCTTTTGCTTTGTATTACAGGAGGGCTGGGGGGATATAGCGGCCACCCCTAGATCTCTTGAATTGTATCGTGGCTGACAAGCATCTCTGGGCATTTGGCGCCACATTTGGGCCATGGGCCTGCCTGGAGCCATTTGCTTGCTGGAGCACCGGAATATTTGAATTGAGAAACCCGCTCGGCCTTGTGCTGATTTATCTTCCATGGTCGAGTTTTTGGTCTTTTTGCAAAGCTCAAAATTTTTGTTTCTTTATGCTAAATTGCCCTTCTTTGCAATATTCAGTCAGCTTCCGCGGTGCTCTTGGGAGCCTGAGTGGAGCCCTCGAAGTGGGAGCTGACTCATCGGCTTATAGCAGCAGTGTGTTATGCCTCCCCGCGATCTTGGGGGTGAAGATCAATGCGGTTCAGCTGGGTGAGCAGTGAGTTGATTTAAAAGTTGAACAGAAGTGGGGCAACAGTGCAGCCTTGCTTGACCCTTTCCTGCGTTGCGACAGCTTTTTCTGTGACCTTGCACACTTCCTCTGACCTTGAGGGAGGCCCCTCTTCAGATTTCTTCTGCAAGGGCCCTTCACCGTGTAGAGACCCTCATTTCTGGGGCTGAAAACTGTGAGGCCAGAGGCAGCTCCTGTGGGAATTCCGCTCACTGGCCTGCTTGGGACCCACTTTTGGGGGCGGGTAAGGCTGAGGGGCGGACTTGCACCCTGGAAGGGCTGGCCATGGGCTGACAACCAGCACCTGCCCGTTTAGGTGACCAGCGTCCCCCATGGTGCTGCGTCCGGGGATAAAGCGACTGCACTCTCGTCCAACTCGCTGTGGGTCCCTCGCAGCGGCCCTGAAATACTTTGGTGGACTCACTTTTAAATGCACAGCAAAGCTTTCCTTCAGGGGATTTTAATTCTGTTTGCAGAAGGTTTTGGCTAAGATCTGTCGCTTTGCAAGGAGACCAAGCTCATCTGTACTCACCCTGATTTTGCATTCTCTTTTCACTCGTATTTAGCCCTTGCGCATGTGTAGGATCCCCTCATGAACCCCCTGAACTGCTGACCAGGCGCCAGAGAGTCCGCAGCCGGATGTGCACTCAAGAAGTGTCCCCCGGAATGTGAGGATGGGTAAGTACCTCGTGGGACTGGAAGCGCACTTGGGTCTGGAGGGGCTGTGGTCACGCTCTGTTCCCACGGGGGCCGGCCGTGTGACCTGGCACTCACTTCTCCTCCTTGATCGACTAGATGTGTTCCATCAGCAGCTCCTTCTCCCGCTGTCCGGTTCCTCCTCTTCAGGCAGGGCGCCCAGTCTGGCTGCTGTGCCTCCGTCTGCATCTGCCCCCTGGGGGTCCTTGGCCTGCAAGGCAGAGCGAGGGGAGCCGGCGGCGGTCAGCCTCTCAGCCGGACGGGAGGCGAGCGGCCACCCGGCGCTCGTGAGTGGCCCCCGGCTGGCCCGGTTCATTCCCCGTTCTGAGCTGCAATGCATCACGAAGCAGTCTCTGCTCGGGGTGCCCAATTCCAACGCTCAGAGGGCTGGGGGGCAGTGGCGGGCCGGTGCGGCACCAGGACCGGGCCTGAGCATCCCCTGCGGCACACAAGACTGAGTCTTCCCCACAGGGCTGCTGCGAAGGGCAACCGCAGAGGATCGCAAGGGGCTCTCAGCCGCCAAGCATCCCACAAATTCTTCTTGCCTCTCCTGGCGGGCTCAACGTCCGCCTCGTGCATTTTGCATGCTGCGGATGGGAGAATTTTGTCACTCGAGGTTGCTTCTGAGCATGTGCAAAGGAATGCCCCTCCCCACTGAGCAATCCCGAGCCAACCAGATGTCCCTTGACAGCAATTACAAGGCAGAGATACGTGCAAGCCCAACACATCGGGGGTTAGTGTGAACGGCTCTCCCGCAAGCAACAGGCAGGCCCGGTGTTCCGAAGTGAAGCCGTGACGAATGCGGGTCTTGCAGGGTGCTATCTGGGCTGCGCCGAGGCATGCGATTTTCGGGGTGAGGGTGCGGAAGGCGCAACTGGGGGTCATTTCGAAAAGCTGCCCTTTGGGCCCTCGGCCAAGGATGAGAGAGAGAGAGAGAGAGAGAGAGAGAGAGAGAGAGAGAGAGACTGGGTGCTGTCGTGGGTTAGAGGGTGGGGTGGGGCAGCAGTCCATTCACCAGGTCTTCCACCTACCCGGGCTCCCTCGCGGGGAGAAGAAAACCCAAGTTTTACTGGACACAGCTGGAGAGAAGGAGACACACACGAAGGGCACGTTCAGAGAGCTGCGCCTCGCTTCCCCCACTCTCCTCTCCTTGGGTAAGCGTGGAAGACATAAAAGGCACCGCACGGGGGGCGCCCCCTGCCCCCAGGCCAGGAAGGGCGCATCCAGGGGCGTTCGACGTGCCCGGCCAAGCGGCTGTGCGCATCGGGGCGAGGCAGACGTGGGGCGGGCCTGGGCTGTGCGCGCCAAGGGGCCGGGCACCGCCGGCAGCCCCTCTTCCCTCCTGCGCCCACCGCATTCTGCCCCACACGCACGCTCTGCAGAGGGAGGCATTTCGCCCTGCTGGGCGAGGAACACCCAACCGTGGGGCTCCGCTGACCGCCTCCCCTCTGGCCTGGGGCAGCACTGCGCTCCGCACTGGACTCTGGGGGCAGAGGGTTGGGTTCAGGCCGGGTCGCTGTGGCCGGCTCTTCCCCCGTTCCAGCGAGGGCCTCTTGAGGACCGTCTCGTGGCCCTCCTGCTGCACGCGGGCAGGCACACCCCTCCTCCGCCGGGACGGAACGACCTCCAAAGCCCGCCCGCTCAGCCCCTGCCCTCCCGCGGGCGGGAGCCACAACGCGCAAGCGCTGAGCATGCGCAGAGCCCGAGGAGGCTTGGCGAGCGCCTCGGTCCTTGCCGGTCCTCGGCCCCACCGGCTGGCGACGGAGCCCGCGGCACCCGGCTGGACGGCACTCCAGCGGACTGGGGGCGGCCCCACAAAACGGAGCCCGCTTCGGCAGCGCTGACGGGTCGCTGTCCAGCCCCACCGCAGGAGAGCTCGGCTCCTCCAGTTCCACCTCTGTTGCCCTGGGGAGACCTGTGCTGGACTCGTCCTCCAGCGTCTGGATCGCGTGCCTGTGCCTGCGCCTGCGTTCACTCGGAAGGGCTGGTGGCTTGCAAAGCGGCCTTTCCCGTCGCCCCGCCCCGGTCCTCAGCCAGCGGGACTGCGGGGGCTGCAGCCCGGCTCTCCGATGGGCCCCCTCGGAATCCCCACATGCCCAGCCCGGCGCTCACCGTGCTCTGCCGCAGCAGCGAAAGCCGCCGGAAGGCGATGGTCTCCGCAGCCTCCAGCTGGCAGATCTCCTGCATCTTTACCTGGTACTTCCTCATCTGCTCTTTGATGATCATCTCCACACATCTGTGTCCGCCGGGGTGCGGGGAGAGAAGAGTGCCGGGGAGTGAGCTGGCGTGACAGCGGACTCGGGCTGGGATGCACGGCGGGGGCGACTGGGGGCAGGCATGCCTGGGAGGAGGGTCGGGGGAGCGGACAGAAGGTGCAAGGCGAAAGGAAGGAATCGCCCAGCAGTGGGTGCGGTGGCAGAGAGCCGGCCGACTCACATGGTCGTTTTGGAGACGTCCTTCATGCTGGTCAGGGGGTCTGAGTGGTCCGGGCAGCGCAGGAGGCAGGGCGCGAAGACGATCGCCAGGGCGTTGGGAGACATCCGGTTGACGTCTTCCACCAGGGCCACCCTGCGTGTGGGTCGGGGAAAGGGGTGCGTGTGAGCCGGCGCGCCCGGCCTGGCTGGCCGCGGGCCCGTGGGAGCCGCACTCCGACGTGCCTGAAGGGGCCGGCCGGGAGGGGGGCGCAGACTGTGTGGCGGCAGAGCCCAAGCGCCCCCCCCGCTCAGACGGCCCTTGTCCCCAGCACGGCAGCCCTGCTTGCACCTGCAGCTACGCCCCTCCCCGCAGAGGCAAGGGCACAAGCGCCCCAGGAGCACGCGGGCGCAGGGCAAGGCCACGAGGGTGGGGGGCCGCGGGGGCTCACTTGACCAGGTGGAAGATGAGGCGCTCCAGGGTGTCGTGGTGGGCCTGTGGGAGCTGCTCGAGGGTGCTGTAGATGGCAGCGAGCTGCTCCTGCTGCCCCGGGAGCTCTGAGGGGGGACGGGGAGAGATGAGCAGGGCTGGCCCCGTGTCCTCGTGCGGGGCGACCCGCTCGACCCAGCACCCCGCCCTCTGGACCCACCGGATGGCACTCTGGGACCGCTGGGGCCGGCCTTCCCTGCGAGGGGGAGACCGGCCCTTCCCTAGTTCTGCCCGCCGCTCCAAGCGCCTGAGTGGCCGGAGGGGCCGGCGGGACACTCACCCACCGCTCGGAGGAAGTCGTGGTACTGGGAGAAGGTCATGAGCGGCTCGGGCAGCTCCCTCAGCCACTGCTTAAAGATGCCCGTGATGGTGTGGATGGGGTATTTCTCCAGCTGCACTGAGTTTGGGTCTGTGGAGGAAGGGGAAGGGGAAGGCTGCAGGGCACGGTGTGTGCCGTCACGGCTGCAGAGTCTGGCACTGTGCCCACAGACCCCCTCCTGCTGCTTTCCAGGCCTCTGAACCCCACAAGTGCTCCAGACGTTTTTAACGGCAACGCCAAGGGCACCAGCCCTGCTCGAGGTGGAAAGAGCAGCCTCCCCCGCTCGCTCTGGTCCTCCCCAGCTTTGCCCTGGGCAGTGGGGCTCTCTGCTGGGGACCCTGAGCCGTCAGGCGTCCAATGAGGCCTGCGGCACGTGCCCCTGAGCGGTGGCCCCCTGAAGAAACCCCCGAGAGGCTTCCTGGCCCGCTAAGCACTCCACCTGTGCCTTGGCAGTGTTTCGGACTCTGCCCGGCTCCCGTCGGGGCTTCGGGGGCCTGCGTGTGCATTTCGCACGGATATTCTCACTGGCTCCTCCTCCGGTCTGTTTGGGCAGCCGGGCTGAGCATCCCCATGCCAAGGAGGAACTGGGCCACAGGCGCCACTGCGAGCCCAGACGAGCCCCAGAGCAGCCCAGGCAGGAGGCAGGAGGGGGCGCCGCCTGCCCGGGGGAACCGGCTCGACGGAGGCGACCGCCCGAGTGGGGTCCTGCCCCTACCTGCCTGCAGCAACTGCTTCAGCTCTTTCATGCGGTTGGCCGAGCCCGACTTCCGGTAGATGCCTTCCGTGTAGAGGCCATGCATCTCGACGTGCTCCAGCAGCTTCTCCATGACCACGGGGACCGAGTCCTTCTCGCCGGTCAACGCGCTGACGCACACCCCGAAGTGGCGGGGCCCAGCGCCCTGGTCGCCCTAGGGCCAGGAGAGGCGGAGCAACGTTACCGGAGGCGCGTGGCGGGACGCCCGGGGTGCGGGCCGCAGAGGGCCGCGTGCCCGGCACTGCGGGGCAGGTGAGCGGGTGTGCCTTCGCAGGGGAGCCGGCTGGCCAGGGCCTCCTCCAGGGCTGCCTGCTCACAGGGGCATCTTGCATACGACGGTGCCTTTGCTGGCATGAGGGCACTTGCCAAGAGGCCGCCTGGCCCCCTGCTCCTGCTGTGCCGGGAGAGCCTGGTCCCACGGCTGTGCTGCCTTGTGCGGGGGCCGACACGCAGCAGAGTCCCCCAGTTGGCTCCATGGCTGAGCGGGGACTTGAACCCGGACCGCCCACGTCCCAGCTCTGTGCTCTAACCGCTGCACCGGGCTGGCCAGGGGTCACGCCTCAGGGTTAGCATTTCCTTACTGAGACTAATTGGGCAGCTTGGTGCAAATTCAGGAGGGCATGCTCCTCCCCTGCCGTTGTGTTGGACTACATCTCCCAGCACCCCCAGCTGGGGGCAGGCTGTCCTGGTGGAACATGAGGACCTGATGGGGCGCATGCAGCTGGTCTGCTGGAAAGCAATCGATGGGCCGGCAGCCTGTGGGCGTGTCCAGATGGCTTGGCCTCCAACTCCCACCAGCTCCAGGCAGCCATGAGGGGCCGCATTCGTCCCCTGGTGTGGAGTTTGCAGACAAATGCAGCGTCTTGCCAGAATTTCTGTTCGCCACCCGATTGGCCGTGGACCGAGCATTCGTGAACCGAGGTGCCACTGTGTAGGTACGTGGGGGGTGTCACGCGGAGGTGGGTGGAGACCTGTTCTCCCTGCAGAGGAAGGCAGGATGCGCTCCGATGGAGCAAAGCTCAGGGAACAAAGATTTAGGGTGGATGCCAGGAAGAACTTCCAGACGGTCAGGACCCCAAGAGCATGGAATGGGCTTCCATGGGAGGTGGTTGAGGCCCCGTCCGTGAGGGATTTCAAGGAAATGCTAGACATGCCCATGGTGGGCATGTCATGACCGGAGCCAGCTGGAGCCGGGGTCCGACTAGATGGCCTGGGAGGCCCCTCCTGCCTTGCTTGGTTTCTGTTTTTATGAATGGAGCCGGCTGGAGCCAGGCTCTGCTTCTCTGCATGGTCCCAGAGACCCATCCTGTGTTGGGGCAGCCCACACCCCAAAGCGGAAGGTGCTGAGATTTCTAGGGTGTGGAATTCCAGAGGAAGCCTGCATGGCTGCAGGCCAAGTCCCAGGCAGCACCGCTCTGGGGATCCGTGACGCGGCTGGAAGCAAACGGGGTGAACTGTGAGGGGCTTTGCTCCTGCGGAGCGGGCACGCCAAGCCCATGCGCTGTCCGGGCAGTGCCACACGGCCCTGGGAGAGCCACCTGGGTGGCCAGAGGCGCACCTGAGCAGGCCCCGCTCAGCAGACGAGGCGACTGGGGGCGCAGGAGGTGGGTCGGCATGCCACAAACACTCTGAACACTCTTTTCTTTCCATTGCCCCCAAAGTGCACTCTTTTAATATATAAACAACATAACATACATTTTCTCGTCTCCCACTGAACAGTTATCACAACATGTTTAAGTTCTTGTAAACCACTTGGAAAGCGGTCATGAAAAAAAATTTAAAGCAGAAACATAAAGCGTGCCTCAACTCCCCTTTCGGGCCACTGGCTCGTTGTAGGGAGGCCAAGTGTGGGTGCAGCGGAGGGAGAGCCGGGGGGGGGGGAGGTGTGAATGGCCACCGCCCTCCCCAGGAGGCCGGGTCTGATCCTGGCAGCTCCCGTCTGCTGAGCCACCGGGCTCCTCAACAGTCGCTGTGTCCATGAGCAGGTTCAGTGGGAGAGGAGACCCAAACCTTGCATGCCCAGCGGGGCCTTCCAGGCACCCGCCTGCCACACGTGCACAGAATATCGGCCCCGCCGGTGCAGAGCCGCTCCTGGCGCCCCCCGCAGGCAGCCTGCCGCTTCTGGGGGGGGCGAGTCTGTCAGCTTTCCAGTCCTGGGGAGGCTGCTTGGCCTGGCCTGCCGGCCTCCGGGGGGCCCTGATGAAGCGGCACCCCCTTAAGCAGCGTCGGAGAAGGAGTGCCATAAGGTGTGGCCCCAGTGGTGGGAGACAATAATGGGGGGGCGCTTGGGGATCCAGCCACATCCTTGGTGGAGGGACTGATGCTTCGGGGGGGAGGCACCTTGCTTCCTGTAACGAGAAGAGCTGGTGAAGAGCCCGGAGGGGAGCCCGGGGGGGGGGGCAGGCCGCTGAGAGCCGCAGCAGTGGAGTGGAAGAGGACCGAGAGAAGGGTGCGCAGCGCCCCAATACCGACCCTGGGGATCCGGGCACTGCACCCCCTCCAGCAGGCTCTCTGTGCTGGCCGAAGCCTCAGAGTCGAGATCGGAGCCTCGGTGGTCCAGCTCTGGCCGCCGGTAGGTGATCTCTTCCCCGCACCGGAGAGGGGGAGCAAGGGGAGCTGGACTGGCTTCTGCAGCCCAGTCTGGCGCCCACGGAAGCAGGGGGCCAGCGCGCCGTGCCACCCCGCCTGTGCAGCCGCGAGGGCGCCGGGGAAGCTGCCTCCGTGTCCGCCCACCTGCCCCTCTGGCTTGGCTGGATAGTTGGATCCCCAAATACTTGCACGCCGTATCCGGGTGCTGTAGGCCCTAGCAGTCCTCTTGAGGAACAGGCATGCCCAGAGTTTGCCTTGTGCCCAGCTGGGTGGGGCCACACTCCCTCAGACGCCGTCTCCGGACACCCATCGCGGCCGCGGAGGATTTCGCCACATGCTGCGTTAATGCTGGATTAGTCCCAGACGGCGGTATGTGGATCAACGGTGGTTCCCCCTGGACGGGAGGTGATTCTTCAGTGGGAAGTGACTGCAGCGCTAATATCCCAATGGAATTTGCACCCCGCAGGATGAGCCCTGCAGCTCCCGGCTGTCCCACCCCATGGGGGCAGAGGCGCTCTGGCCGGGGGATCCCTTTCACTGTACCCCCCAAAATGCAAGGGATTCTGTTAAGGAGGGCCAAGGTAAAAGCCCTTTTGTGATTGTGCAGTTCCTGTTGTTCGAGGTGGGTGAGCTCTTGCAACTGCCCATGGTCCCCGCGAGAGAGGATTCCGGGCGGCTCCTGGGTCGGTTTGTCTCTCAGGGTCTGCTCTGTGCTGCTTGATGAAGTCCCTTGAAGGTTCGAAGCCCATAGTTAGTACAGTCCGTAGGGGAAGGTCCAAGAGAGGTGTTTTCTGCTCGATGGATTGAATCCAGTTGGTTTCGGAATGGCCTCGCAAGGGAGGAGAACTCAAGGAGCCAAGGTTCAATTTGGATGCCAGGATGTACTTCCTGAGGGTTAGGACCTGCGGGTCTGGAGTGGGCTTCCACGGGAGGTGGTTGAGGCCCCATCGGTGCGGGTGTCCAAGGACAGGCTGGACATGTACCTGGTAGGCCTGTCACGAGTGGGGCTGCCTGGAGCCGGGGGTCAGACTAGATGGCTCGGGAGGCCCCTTCTGACTCGCTCTGTTTCTAGGCTGGATGTTTCTATGTTAGTGGATCAAGGCCAACTGGAAAGGATCTCAATCTGGGCCAGTGCGCCAGGACAGCCCCCCCGCCCTCCCCCCCGGATCCTAGCTTCACTTTTGATCTCACTGGTCTTACTTTGAATTGGGGACCCCCCGAGGGCCATGCAGTATTGCCTTCAGAAATTTTGCCTGTTGTACTAGTTCGGTATTTGGGAAAGGCCCCTGTTGAGATCCATTCAGTAGTTGAGCCAGTACTTTTGCTTCGTATAATTGGAGGGCTGGGCAGATACAGCGGCCACCTTCTCTCTCATGAATTGTATTATGTCTGAGGAGCTTCTCTAGGAATGCAGCTCAGTTTGGAGGCCAGAAAGCCCATCCTGACGGTTAGGACCCCTGGGGTATGGAAAGGGCTTCTGTGGGGGGAGGTTCAGGCCTCATTGCTGAGGGTGTTCAAGGATGGGCTATACATGCACATAGCAGGCAAGCCGTGAGTGGAGCTGGCTGGAGCTGTGGATCACACTGGGTGTCCCAGGAGGCCTCTCTCGTTGCAGCTGAGAACTGGATCCCTGCAGCTGGACCCCCCTCCCAGCGCAAGCCGATTCTCACTGGCTGCTCAGAGGCTGCTTTGAGCTGTTGGCCCCACCAGGTAGAAAGATGCCTCTGAGCTGGCTTTCTGCTCTTTCCCCTCTGCTGAAGGAGGGTGCAGAGCAGCAGGAAGGCCAGGGAAACGAGGGAAATCGAGGGGGAAGGGAAATGAAATGGGAGGGGAGGGAATGAGAGAGCCCTGCTCTGAGAGAGCATCTCCCTCCCGCTGCACCAGGGACCACACCAAGCACATTCCACCTTTGGCAGTGCTGTGTTTTACGGAAGATATTTGGGAATAGCAGATTCCTGCTTTCTATTGAGCCAAGGAGTGGCCTGCTAAGCAGGCCTCCCGAGGTTTGCATGCAGGGACTGCCCAGCCCGGGGGCCTGCGCAGCTGTGGGTTTGGTTGTGCCCCTCTCCTTCCCACCCTTACTAGCAAAGAGGAGGCGAGTTCTCCTGGACGCACAACCAGGTTGCGCAAGTTGCAGTCATGGAGGGTGGAGGCATCCGGAGGTTTGAGGACAAAACTGAGAATTGAGGGGAAGGGGGGCGTCTCCCAATTTATTGGGGCTCAATTTCCCTTGCGGGGCTTCCTGTTCCCTTGAAACGGACTAGCGTGTTTGCACCTGGAGTTGGGCGATTGGGACAGATCAGGGATCCTGCTGGTGTACCGTGCACCCTCCTGCCCAGCAGACTGCCTGCCTGAGCTGACGGAGACCGTCTCGGACCTGGTGTCGAGGACCGCTGGGATGCTGGGCCTGGGGGACTTCAGTCTCCACGCTGAGGCTGTTCTGGCCAGGGCGGCTCAGGACTTCATGGCCTCCATGACGGCCATGGGACTGTCTCAACATGTCTCCGGCCCAACCCATGAACAAGGTCACACTCTGGACCTGGTTCTCTCTCTCTCTCTCTTTCT